AAACATAGATCTATCAGCAGATTAATTAAAAAAGAACTGGGATATCTTGAAAACTGGATCCTATTTCTGGGTAAGATTCTGCCAGATAAACCAGAGATTGTTTTTTAGGATGAGCGACCTATATGAGACCATTGTCTGGCACCGAATGTAGTTGACCCTCCTAAAAAATATTAAACTATTTGCTGATATATTAGGTTTTCAACCCATGCAATAGGTTGTGTTATATGTAAATGTGACAACACCAGAAAACGCAGGCTGTGAATTTATTTTAAATTCACATGTCACTGGAAGAAAAACATATTTCTATAAGACACTTTTTTTCTTGCAATAAGCGCAGGTACGTTGTGTATTTTCTACTCCAATGTCCCTGCTTAAAGCAATACGTGGGACAGTACCACTAGAAGATTACGTGATCGTTTTACGCGGAGCATGTATCCAATATTAAGAAAGGTTACAAGGATCATGCTCTATCTAATCATTACAGGATTTATCACAATCAAGATCCTACCTACGTTAAGTTCACGGCTATTGATATCATTTACCCCACATTGGAGAGGCCTGAACAAAACACGCGCAGTTCTCACAAGCAGAAACCAAGTGGGTATACGAATTGGGTACTTTATACCCATTAGGACACAATATTGAAATTGATGTCAACTGCTTTATTATGCAAATCACTGATTGATAATATATTATGCATCTATACAGTCTTCGCCACATAAGGTCATTTGGATACTACTGGAATCCTGGGTATTTTTTCCTATCTTTCTTTTTCTTTCACATTTCATTAATTTTAATGTTGAGCCATATTATGATTCTCTGGGTTTGTATATTTTGGTATTATGCTTTTACTATCATTATTGAATTAATCATGTATTGATTTTTAACAACCATTTAATAGGTTGTTATTTATGGATCTGCAATGTTATATATATTTTAAATTGTGTGTTTTATCCCGTTTGGTGGATTTGGCACCCCCTTGTGTCCCGTTTTGCCGTTCGTTAGTGCAGAGTATAATAAATGCTGATCCTCAATTTGGCAGTGTAATTGCACCTTATGGGTTTTCATCTTACCCATCTACTATTTTATAACACCAGTGTTTAACCTTATTTAATTCCCTGGTGTAAAGAATAAATCTTCTGGTTGCACCATTTGAATGTTGTGGTGTAGCAACCGTTTTTGTTTATTACAAACTGCATTGATATGACTTCACCCACGGCAAAATGGCCTCTATGGAGCCGCGCTATGCGCACTCCTTGAACTTCGGCAAAATGGCGGCGCCGTACTGCGCATGCGCGAGTGCGCTATTCAGTATAATTAGATGGACGTCTGTCATGCTCTGGTTGGGATATCCCCTGTGATGGATGTGGCAACGTTGGGCACAGGAACTTCCACTGTATCTCAAGGCCCCCCCCCCCCCCCCCCCCCCCCCCTTTTAGGAGGAAGGGGGGGAACGCGACAGAGCATGACGTCATCTCCCGCCCGGAGCCACGAGATAGCCCCGGCGGCCATTTTAACTTAGGGTCAGTACCTTTTGCTGGCGTACTCTGCTTGTAATATATCCATTGTACACAGCCTACTACCCTGTATTTTTATCCTGATTGTTTTATTAAAATTGGTTTGAAATTTGACTTTACACTATGGGCACCTGTTTTTTTGGTTACCTGTTTGGGAGCTAAATCCATTTGCAGGAATTTCCTGTTAGTGGTGTGTATTACCACCACCGGAGGGACGGAGCTATGGATCCTGGCTGATTACCTTACCACCTGTAAAGGGGATCTCCGGGGACTTCTCTCATACATCTCCAGCTGATTGATTTACAGAGGTTGGAGCTTTATTCTCTTCATTTCCAATAAAGATTCCAGGGGATATTTATTATATGCGCATTTTCCATTCGCGCGTCAGTGGTGAGGTGCGCACTCTTTCCATTTTGTCTCCGGGCTTTATCAGCTATTCCCTTGGGATTCTTTAAGATATACATCTATTTAATTATTACGGGGATTTTTTCGTTTGGTATTTACATATTTTTTAGCGCTTGCACTCTGTTTTTATCTTTTAACTCCTGTACATAAACTTTTGGCATCATGGGGGACTGAACCTAGTTTAGGTCAGTAGCTCTCCAACATTTCCCTTTGAATCTGTGTAGTAGCATCTCTCCCTTGACTGGTGTTACCAGGAAGGTGGTCTTTCTGGTGGCCATTTTTGGCTTGAAGAGTATTGGAATTGGCAGCCTTGTTCCTGTAAAGTTGTATTCTTCATTCTACACAAAGATAAGTTTGTTCAAAGGCGTAGGCAAGATTTATTGCGTAAGGTTATTTTATTATTTCACATTAATTAGACATTATCTTATCTTTCTTTTTTTTCTTACCTTTATATGCAGTTTGAACTATAAGGGCTTATCTCTCAGCAACAATTTATATGTTAGGTCAGACTCCCTGTTTATTTTACCAGAGGGGTCATGAAGTGGTCAAGTAACCTCGGTGAAGAACACTGTCCATTTGTGATAACATTTTGCCTTTTCCATTTGGTTTTATCCCCCTTGTTAAGTGGCCTTCCAGTTCTACCTTTTTTTTTAAAAACTGTATATGTTTAGCAGTGTTATGTAGACAGGCATTCTGCAGTTTGCTTACATAATGGGGGACTTGTAGCCTTTCACTTATCCAGATTTCATACTGCGTGATTACTGCTGTATTGTACTGTAGAGTTTTGGAGTGTGGGTGGGGAACCAAGTGCCAGGTGGGGGTGGTGGGGGTGGAGGGGGGCAGGGATTACTGCCAGCATGTACTGTAAAAGTTGAGTTGTGTTCAATAAAGCAATGCATTTATTCACCCTACACAAAGTTCTGACTCATGGTTTGGGATATCGGGGAAGGATTGCCTTTGAGCTTTAATACCTGCCTTGTCAGAGCGCTGGAAGACTTGCCAGAAAAGTAGACCATTGGCTGAGACTAAGCCGTGGACGCCGCATCACTCCACAAAGAGGAAGCCCAGGTGGAACGGTTTCCGCCACAACCGGTTGGCAGTGGTGGGATCTTTCCTCATTGTGGAGAAAGTCCAAACCACCAATCGGGACCCATCTTTTTCTCAAAGATGTCCCTGCTCAGCCAGATGGATGTATGGTACCAGCCAGTTCTCCAAAGCCTGCTTGTCGCTCGGAGAGGTATTGCTGGCTGCAAGACCAGAGAGGAACTGTTGGCCGAGATTATGGCCCTGGACCAAGCGGATGCCACAACCTCTCACTCTACTATTGTTATACAGATAAGACCGGTTGTTATTCAGGTTTTTAACCTGTAAGGGAAAGTAAGAAGCACATTCTATGAGGGACATAAGCACTTCTTCATGTTGACATTTCTACATCAAGCCTCAGCTTCTCAAATCTGTGTAACGTGGCTACTTCGTGACTTCGGTACATGTCATTACAAATTCCATAAGGTGGATGTTCAAGCATCAGCTGATTAACGTTTTGGACATTAGGTCCTTTAGGCATCGCTACAGTAGAGCCTGTTCCCTCCTCTCATAGCATTGAATGGGGGCATCCCAATGGTAATGATTAGAAAGCCATGTGCTCTGGAATGTATGATGAAGAAAACAGAACTTTTTATTTACGTGTTGTGGCAGGACAAGGCCATGCCACTATGTATAATGGTAGTCTAGGCCAGGTTTTGGATAAACCAGTCACGCTAAGGGCAGAGGTGTGTGCTGTTTTTTTTTTTTATTTATAGCAGAGCCAGGATTAGAGGTCAATGCTCCACCCTTCTGAGGGGGTCAGTGTGTTGTAAGAGAGAAGAGTGTTGCATGTCTGCACAATGCTGTCCAAAAAAAGACAGACCAAGGTCCGAGCCAGAGAGAGAGTCTGAGAGATGCAGCAACAAGGAAGGACACAGAGCTGGAAAAAGTACAGCATTTGTGCTCGAACACTGGGAAGTATATTAGATGGTCTGGAGGACGATGGCTTGAGGCCTGAGTAGTAGAGCTGCAAAGAAGAGGCAAGAGGCTGAATACTATGTTTATGTGTCATTTGATGGTGGAAACCCCCTGCGTGGTGTTTTAAAATAAAAGTGGGCATAAAAAGCCCAGAAAAGACATGTCTGGCTTGGAGTAAACTCATTGTTTTATGCTACCAATGAGCTAAAACCCCCCAAGCTGCATTAATCCATTATTCACCTCAGAATTTTTAAACTCAGTAGACAAGCAAGTTTTTACCACTTGTCTCTCTGCTACACAGGACACTGCATGGGGATGAGTCCTTATCAGTCCTCAGTCTCGCTGCGGGTTCAGTTTCCCCACTACACAGGGTACTTTTTCAGGGCTCCAGGTATGACCAGAGGTGTATGAACTGACACAGGGAAACGCAGGCTTCAGATATAGTATAAACAATATAATTTATTTAAGACTAAACAATACATAAACGCAGTGCAAGACTAAACATAAACACAGTGCAAACAAACCAAACCAAAACCCCCAACAGATAACAAAAGAACAATACTAAGCGTAGTCAGGCAGGCCGGGTCGGTAGCAAACGGGTAGGCAAGGTACAAAGGAGCAGGCAGAGCGTAGTCAGACGGGCCGGGTCAGGAACAATCAGGCAGACAAGGTACCAAAGGAGCAGGCTGGAGAGTGGTCAGGAATAGCCGAGGTCAGGACAGGCGGAGTTCAATCAGAGTCAGGGATCAAAGCAGGATCATACAGGAAGCAGACAGGATGCAGGTACAGGGGCTCTTGGGAAACATACACCAAGGCACTGACTGCAGGTCTGGCCATTCCTTAAATACACCTCCTGCAATCAGCCTCAGGTGTTTGGCTGATTGCAGGAGTGAGCTTCTGGTTGCTGAGAGCACCCGCTGGCCAGCCCTGGTACTGCAGCCCACAAGGCAGGTGAGTCCCACCACTATTGGCGAGTCCATTCCTGACAGTACCACCCCCTCAAGGAGTGGCCTCAGGACGCTCCAAACAGTCCTAAATGGGCCCGGTCTGGTAACTGGGGGATATAAAAGACTGGCACATCAGGCTGGGCACCGGACAGAGGCACTTCAGGCTGGGCACCGGACAGAGGCACTTCAGGCTGGACACCGGACAGAGGCACTTCAGGCTGGGCACCGGACAGAGGCACTTCAGGCTGGGCACCGGACAGAGGCACTTCAGGCTGGACACCAGACAGAGGCACTTCAGGCTGGGCACCGGACAGAGGCACTTCAGGCTGGGCACCGGACAGAGGCACATCAGGCTGAGCAGCAGGTACTGGGCCACCAGGTGAGGCAGCGGCACCGGGCCTTCAGGCGAGGCAGCAGGCACCGGGCTTCAGGCGAGGCAGCGGGCACCGAGGCAACTGGCAGAACAGCGGGCACCGAGTCATCTGGCAGCACAGCGGGTACCGAGTCACCAAGCACGACAGCGGGCACCGAGTCACCAAGCACGACAGCGGGCACCGAGTCAACTGGCATGACAGCGGCTACCGAGTCACCAAGCTCGACAGCGGGCACCGAGTCACCAAGCTCAACAGCGGGCACCAAGTCATCTGGCAAGACAGCGGGTACCGAGTCAACTGGCACGACAGCGGGCTCCGAGTCACCAAGCTCGACAGCAGGCACCGAGTCAACAAGCTCGACAGCGGGCACCGAGTCATCTGGCAAGACAGCGGGCACCGAGTCACCAAGCTCGACAGCGGGCACCGAGTCATCTGGCAGGGCAGCGGGCACCGAGTCATCTGGCAAGACAGCGGGCTCTGAGTCATCTGGCAAGACAGCGGGCACTGAGTCAACTGGCAAGACAGCAGGCTCCGAGTCATCTGGCAAGACAGCGGGCACCGAGTCATCTGGCAAGACAGCGGGCACCGAGTCAACTGGCACGACAGCGGGCACCGAGTCAACTGGCACGACAGCGGGCACCGAGTCACCAAGCTCGACAGCGGGCACCGAGTCACCAAGCTCGACAGCGGGCACCGAGTCATCTGGCAAGACAGCGGGCACCGAGTCATCTGGCACGACAGCGGGCACCGAGCCAACTGGCACGACAGCGGGCTCCGAGCCATCTGGCACGACAGCGGGCTCCGAGCCATCTGGCAAGACAGCGGGCTCCGAGCCATCTGGCAAGACAGCGGGCTCCGAGCCATCTGGCAAGACAGCGGGCTCCGAGCCATCTGGCAGAACAGCGGGCATCGGGTCGTCAAGCTCGACAGCGGGCACCGAGTCATCTGGCAGGCACCGAGTCATCTGGCATTGGATCATCTGGCTTGACAGTGGGCACCAGGTCATCTGGCAGGACAGCAGGCACCAGGTCATCAGGCATCGGATCGTCCGGCACGACAGCGGGCACCGGGTCATCTGGCTCGACAGCGGGCATCGGGTCACCAGGCATCAGGGTATTAGGCTGAATTGCGGGTGCCGGGCATCAGGCTGAACCACGGAAGGCGGGTTCTCCAATGGCAGGCTGACCGGTTTGGATACTGGCAGAATGGTATTGGTTGGAAAGAATTTTCGCCTTTTTTCCTGGTTTTAGTTACTGGAGCACAGGAAGTAAGCTTAGGTGTAAGGGACCGCCCGGCGATACCACTAGCACTCCACTGGTCAGACGTCCCCAGCGCACGGAATCTAAGCCCCAGAGTACTTGTTCACCAGGGCCCCTGATGGTGGGGATGGACTTGGAGTACCCTGAGACCAGGTCGTGGCTACTGAGTACACCTGTCAGTGGTAGCAGTATTCGCCAGGGGCTCCCACAGGGAAGAGCCTGATATGAGGAGGTCGGGTGACCCTGTTGGGATGGATGGATGGCTGAGCAAGTGTGAGGTCAGACAGGCCGGGTCGGTAACTGTGGGGACGGTGCGGTACAAAGCAGCGGGCAGAGAGTAGTCGGGTCACACGCCAGGTCAGCAACAGAAGGTCAGATCTAATAGGGGGCATCCAGGAGAGAGGTCAGGCAAAGCAAGGGTCTGGGCAGGAGAATACAACAAGGTCAGGTACAATCCGGGTCAGCAACTCACAATTCACAGGTTCGCAGATACAGGATACAGGGAAAGACCAGAAGGCACTGAATGACAGCTCAGGGCCGTTTAAATATCGCGCCCTGTGCTGTCATTGGTGCCGAAAGCGCGCCCGCGGCCTCTACTGCGCATGCACGGACTCGAACACCGCAGCCGGCCAGGACCTAGTGCCCGCGTCCCTGCACAGGGCGGCGCACTGCGCCTGCGCCGGGACCAGCGCCGCGGCGATCCCCGACAGCAGGTTTGTAAGTGGATAGAGCAGCTGTAGGCAGAGAAGAGCTGAGGGATGGAACAAAGGAGGGAGCAGTTGCTACAGAGGACTTATTTACAGGGTTAAAGATAGGATAGGTGCAGCGAGGGGGAGCAAGGGACTGATATGTGGTAGTTAGCAGAGCATACTGGGCCGTCACTGGGGGTGCTGTCGGGGATGAGGAAGAGTGCCTTGAGCAGAGGAATGATGTTTTTAAGCTGACTGAGGCTGGGTGCAACAAGTCTGACCAAGTCTGCAGTATGGGTTGAACAAAGCTCAGCTTACACAAAGCCTGTCTGGTCAAAGACTGCACTGCGTTTATACAATCTTTTAGCACCTGTTGTGAACATGCAGAATAACTCTCCAAGAAGTAATCCACATCGTCCTCCAATAACCATACCAGGGACTCTACCTGGTCGGCACTAAATGGCGGCAAAAATTCATCCCTGCTTTCGGGGGTACCAGATAAAGCCAACTCTGCACAAACCTGAATCAATGGTTGCACCTCAGAGAACTCTGTGCCCTGATCTACTAGGCAATGAGCGATCCTTATGCATTCTAGTAGTTGATCCCTGGTATACTCCTTCAGAGTCTGATAAGCATAATCTCTGTTATCAAACACTAGCAGAGACAAATACACCACCTCATCAAGATGCATTCTTCCCAGCAACAATAAGCCAAGATGGCTTCCCTGTGCAGCCACTTCTGGTCAGGAATGGCCTTGGTGTAATGTCAGGGCTCCAGGTATGACCAGAGGTGTGTGGACTGACACAGGGAAACACAGGCTTCAGATATAGTATAAACAATATAATTTATTTAAGACTAAACAATACATAAACGCAGTGCAAGACTAAACATAAACACAGTGCAAACAAACCAAACCCCCCAACAGATAACAAAAGAACAATACTAAGCGTAGTCGGGCATGCCGGGTTGGTAGCAAACGGGCAGGCAAGGTACAAAGGAGCAGGCAGAGCGTAGTCAGACGGGCCGGGTCAGGAACAATCAGGCAGACAAGGTACCAAAGGAGCAGGCTGGAGAGTGGTCAGGAATAGCCGAGGTCAGGACAGGCAGAGTTCAATCAGAGTCAGGGATCAAAGCAGGATCAGACAGGATGCATGTACAGGGGCTCTTGGGAAACATACACCAAGGCACTGACTGCAGGTCTGGCCATTCCTTAAATACACCTCCTGCAATCAGCCTCAGGTATTTGGCTGATTGCAGGAGTGAGCTTCTGGTTGCTGAGAGCACCCGCTGGCCAGCCCTGGTACTGCAGCCCACAAGGCAGGTGAGTCCCACCACTATTGGCGAGTCCATTCCTAACAGTACTACACAGTAGCAGGTCTCTCTTGGAAGAGGATTTCCTCACCAGACTTACTGCCTTTTCACTGGTATTAGACACATATTAGGTCTTTGTCACATTTACAGCAGCAACATTCTTAACACTCCACGTTGCAGTTGTGGCAATTTTCCTTTGCGTGTGTCACCTCCAGGAGCCATTCCTCTGCGGCACTTTCCCTGTCACATTTCCCCATGCGGCCTAGGCATCACATCAGAGACTCTTGGGCATTCCAGCCCTCTCCAGACCGACTTGATGCTTCGTTGAAATGGGTAACAACACCCATCTGCTCTTGTGATTGGACACAGCCATCATGTGATCAGAAGGGCCAATCACAGAGCTCATCTGCCAAGCAGTGGTGTGCTGTGTCCAGGGGGCACAGGCACACTGGGGGTGTGTGCAGCTGCATGGTCACATTCTGAGGAACATATGGGTACATCCACTTAGAACAGCACTTGTCCCACCCGGCCATTTAAGTGCACTGGCCGAGTGGGAAGCTCGGTTAAAGAAACTAGTGTGAAAAAATGTGTTGAAAAAGGTCAGTTGGTAGGACAATTGCTTATGGTGTATTGGACAACAGGAGGTGATGTGGGGAGTAACTGCTTGCGCATACCTGGTCTCTCTGCAGACACTGTTTTAGCAAACAATGGGACAAGAGTTCTTGATGTTGAAAATAGTGAGTTCAGTAATCCATTGTGGAATATGGCTATTGATGACTGATAAACATAACAATGTTATGATAATGCTAAGATAACAATCTTAGATGGTTTGGTTGCTGAGGGTAACCACACAGGTAGTAGCAAACCTGAAAAACAGATGGCGATGGCTGAAGCTAATACAGGTAGTGAGAGGGGTAGTCCCCTGACATATGCTGTAGAAGTAGGTCCTCAAGACTCCTGGGAGACTATTTCTGGCGGAGGTAAAAAGAAAAACAAGAACCCAAGGACAGAAGGTAGAAGGGATGGTAGATAGACCAGTGGGATCCCAAGGTTTAGGAAGAGGTGCTTGTGAAAACACACTCGTAAAAAGAAAATCAGACAGGATAGGACCCCTATTGGTGATAGTTGGCAAAGAGGTGCCAAGCTTAAGGATTGGTGTGCTTGTTTTTTTAACAAAGCCAGGATTGGGGTTCAGTGTGTTGTAAGGGAGCAGAGAGGTGCAAGTCTGCACCAGGCTAGACAGGACAGACCAAGGCTTGAGCCTGAAAAAGAGTCTGTGAGAGATGGAGTTTGCAAAGATACAGTGTTTGTGCATGGGAAGTGTGTTAGACGGTCTGGAGGAACAAGGCCTGAGCAGTAGACCTGCAAAGAAGAGCTAGGAGGCTGTGTGGCAGGCGCAGCACCCTTTGGTGCCTAGTGCGCTGTGGCATTAGAAAAATTATGCAATTGCTGTTTCTTTGTTTGATTAGATTGACTTTACTCTGTAATTCCTCCAATGCCGCTCTATGGATGCAGTAGGTTTAAAGAGCACACCGAATACTTTAGTTTAACTTCTTTAATAACTTCAATCTTCTTCATATAACACTGCTTACAATGGCTTGTTTCTTTCATATTACAATGGTTTAATTCGTATTACAGTGGGTTGATTCGATAGCTTATCTCGATAGGTTCAATAGATTTGATAAATTAGTTCTGTATATTTCGATAGATTGATAAATTCACTTGGATTTATAAATTCGTTAGATTACTCTACAGTGACTTGATTCGTAAGTTCGGTGGAACTACAAGTAAACACATACAACAGTTTTTTACATACAGATCTACCTGCATTACTAAACAATAGAGGAACACACAAGTGCATTAAATACCTATTTGGCCTTCTCTGCCTCCTTAAAGCTTTTCTGACTGGAACCTTGTCTGTTTCCTCTTCTGTCTGGTGAGCATGTGTCTCTAGAAAATCCTAGCAGGGAGTTTTACACAGGCACAAATGTGAAACTGGCTGGGATTGGTTAAGGCTCTGTACAGTGTGAGGCTGTCTGTGATTGGCTCACCTTTAACTAACTCTTAAAGGCATATTTTCCTTTTCTGCTTCTGCTAACACAATGAATATAGAAATGTCATATAACAATTAAAAGACATAAATCACAGCAATGATTCTGCTTTTGGCTTTAACATATGCACATATATACTGTACTGAGGTTATTGGCAGATTTGGTATACACATATATGTGAACCATATTAACAACCTAGGACTGGTCTTAGCTGGCCAGCTACAGGCTGATAACCATATTTATGTTTAATTTGATGGAAAATTGGTGGAAAAGCCCCGCTTGGGCAACTGTCATCTTGTGTTGAAATTTTCTTTGCTGACTGTTTTGCACTACCAATGAGTTACAAAACCCCCAACTTGTCACACTGTCAAATCCTTTTTCATTATCCCAGGATAGGAGGATCCCACC